TCGCCTAGTGTTTTTTTTACTAGGTAGAGGGCCGTAAATCTGAAAAAAGGGTGTTTTGAATGTGAATATATATATTTACAACTTATTTTACAGATTAAATCAAGTGGCAGAAAATATGTAATCCAGCAAGTCTTAATTCTGTTGAATAAGGCATTAGGCAAGTGGAGGGTGATTGATGAGTTCTGTACCGATTTGAAGAAGCCTTCTTCAACAAAATTATGGATCACTTTCCCCAACGCTGTTCTACACCCGCGAAGCCTTCGAGTAGTCGAATGAAGTCTTTGTCACGAAATCCTTTGAGTGTTCGCAGGTTGCTATAATGGAGGCCGCAAAAGTGAAATAATTTGTGCCAATCTGCTTGCATAAAATAACTCATGCAATATTAAAGGCTACTCATTATCATTTAGTAAATAATTTTGCGCATTACTGAGCATACGACGACCAACACATAAAAAACGAGCCATTAACAGAAGCTGGTCTTAATTATCATGTTTATACTAATCTGCAATAGTTCGACGAATGCATCACCGCCGAGGTAAGGATAGATGATCGCACAACAGTACCTCAAACATATATCCAAGCCTGCCGCGAAGTTAGTCATCACTCCGGCAGAAAAATATAGGCTAAACTAAGGAGGAGGATGAAGCCACAGGATCTATTAGGTTGATTATGCAGGGCCATTTTCAGCCAGAGCAAGCTTTGGCTTCAGCTTCGCCTGGAAGTTGCCTGCATTAGCGGCCGAATTTGAACCACGTGAATCCCGGAGCAACCTCGCACCTGCATGCCAGTGCATCACGCAATGCATTAATAGGATTTTTACTGATCAACCGAGCTGAGCTGCTACCATCGCTATCAGCACCGCACGACATACTTTATCTCAAATTCCAAATTAGTATTTTTTTATATCCTATGCTATCATAACGTAGCGAGAAGACTGCATATGAAAAAATAAATTTGAGCGTTGTGTGAAAAATGGCCTATAAGGAATAGGATAACCTACATGAACTCCGAATTTCTGCTCTGCCATGGGAATAGTCCCCTAAAGCGCCTAGCATGACCCAAATGTATGGTGAGGTCAATATCCGGCTGGTTAGAGACGTCTAAAGCTAACATCAAAGATTAATTACCTGTTACCGCCTTCTCTAATATTCCATAATTTACTAGATCAGAACTGTTGCAAAGGTTGCGAGCAGCTTGAGCTATAATTTGCCTGCCAGAATCGGGTTCATGAAAAATAACTTTCATAAACCCAGAGTTATCTACACAATTATAAAATGGTATGATTAATTGCTTACCGGTACTTGGGCTTTTTATGATAAAATTATCATTCTGTGACTTATTTAGAAATATAACCTTGTTGATGTTCATTAGAGAGTGCTCTAATGACTTTTTTAAAGCGTTTATACAGCCGCTGCAATCTGAAATAGATATAACAGAGACTCCGACCGCTAAACAGTAAAGTATGAATTGTGAGAGGTCGGCAGGAGAGGCATTTTCATCGAAAATCATCATAGAAATGTGGTATGGTAACTTAGAAATGTGAGTAGTTGCGTTTTGCAATCCGTCGGGGGATCCCAGTCGTAATAATGAAGAGAATGAAGTTCTGAATACAAGGAGTTTGGCAAGGCAAAAAGAAAGTTGCCAAAATCGTTCAATGAAGAAGATAAAGTGTACAGTGAGGGAATAAATCCAGAAGAGCATAGTACTATTGAAGGTACAGATGTGGCAGTAGGTTAGCGGATGAGAACTAGCCGCGCAGGCTTATAGCTGTAATGATCATAAGATAACATCAAAAATAGAATACAATCTATCGATTATATTTTATTATTTCGCCAAACAATAAAATCAGGTGTTCCATGCAAAAATAAATCTAAAATGTGAACCTAAATGAGAAAAGGAATTTGTTTTTTACAATCAAATTTAGGATAATTAAAATTTTTGTGAAAACACACAGGCTGGAAGTCATTTTTAAATATTAATGAAATACAATTTCTGTGACTGGCTATACAGTCCCGTTTGTTGAAGTATTTATAGTCACTAAGGCGACTTTCAGTTCACATGAAAATGAATAAAGAAGAGATCCGTTAGTCGATCACACCAGATAAGGATGAATGAATTTCGTTGTATTGTAGCCGTTTTGCTTCTATACGATATTCATTTCGACGCAGTCCACAAGACTTCCTTCCTCGTTTCGGGTGAAAAAGTGCTTATTAAATAGACCCAATTCAGCCAAATGAAAATTAAAAATCTAGATAGATCGATATAGAGTTGTTTGGTTAACTTTCTATCATACTGATCCTGTTATTTTTGCTCGATTGTATGAGTATATGAATTAATGCATGTTAGCGTCTATATGCAATATGGTTCCTAAATCAGAGTTGTCAAAGTTTTAATCTTTGGTTCT